GGCGTGTTGCGGTAAGATTGGGCGCCACGTTGCGGCTGGCCTGGGCGGTGTTGTTAGCTTACATGCTGCTTGCTGAGGAGCAGGGCTGCGCTGCTCCGCAGGGTGACCGATGTAGTCCTGATGGGGACTGGCCGGTGGAGAATGTGTGACGGATAAGACGGCGGCAGATCATCTTCAGAAGGTTCCGGCTGTGGTCACCAATGTAGTTTATCACTGTTCGTAATCGGGGTCAGCACTGTAGTAACCCAGTGTGTAGTCGTAGTAAGAGGTGACTATCGAAGTTGTGGTTCTGAGAACCGATTTATAATATCGTTGGATACATTATTTGTATCATTGATGATTGGCACAAAATCACAGCTTCCAAGGGTTGACGCTTCACCAGCGTTCGAATAATAGCGAGCCTAGTGTTAAACTAATTTTATTCGAATATTTACAGAGTATTAATACAAAATTTATTTACATAGTTTAAATGGCAAAGAACATTTCAGCACCTTACATTTGTGTATGTATTTGCCGTTGACCTAGTTAGTCGCAGTGTGTCGCGACCTAACTAAGTCAGCACAAATGTAGAGGTTTAATTGATACACAACAATAAATGTTTTCTTGCTATACCGAGTGTTCTCACATTGGAATTAATGCCCCTCCACTAATTCCTTGCATCTAATCTTCCTTCTACATTTAGATGAGCTTCAACCAGGACCTTCAAAAGAATGAAGTGATTTTACATGGTATTTTTTTCTTTGTTTTCGTAGAAGAGGGAAAATCTTCAAAAGACACCCAAGCGTTCGTACGACTGGGTAGTGTCGGACTCCCGAGGAAGGTGTCTAAAACTCCTTTACCTCAGACCGTTATAGTACCTATCGATTCAGGTCCTCTTCAGCCGTCTTCATTAATTTCCTGTGTATTCGTTTTCAATATGTGAAATCAGCCAAGTCGTTATGTTTTTTTTATAATAATTACTATTCAGAAATAGTTACAATATAATAATGATGTAAAGGCAGAAACAGGAGTTAGGAGGGGTAGAGGTAGACCTAGATTAGATTACTGTTCGCAAATATTTAAGGGAAATGCGAAGTTTAGCTCAGGATAGGAAAGAGTGGAGGTACGTGTCCAACCAGTCTTAGGACTGATGACCTTATGATGATGATGAATAATGACGTTTTCATCACCGGGCCTCATGTCCTAGAGGTCATGGATCTAGAGGTTTACACCATTGCTTAGCTTTCTGGAGGACACGATTCAATGGGCTTTTGCGTAGAAATCAATATTTTCATTATGCCCTTAACATTTGATTTTAGTGGCTATTTTAATTTTTGAAATATAACAGATTGGCATTAATCGCAAACACAGTGCGGCGGCTAATGACGTCACTGTACGCAACTCTGGACTTAATAGTAATGCCTACCAGCCGTTCAGATAAAGCGTGGTAATCTGATATTATTAGCTCTTATAGTTTTTGAGATATGAGATTTAAATTCATATTAATCGCAAACACAGTGCGGCGGCTAATTCTTAATTTCTTCGGTAATCGCTACTGTAAATCTACTTTTTCGGAATTCTTATCTCTGATATTTTCCAAACATTAAAATATCGCTCTATTGATACCCAACTACTATCTACTATCCTTTCTCTGTTTTTACAATTTCCAAAACACTTCGATTTTTCTAAACTCAGCAGTTCCTTTCAATCTTTTGAGCAATTAAGTCTTTTTTTCTCTACGCGTGTCTTTGTTAAGTTTATAAATATATGTTGTAGTTATTTCGTTGCTAACTAGTTTTATTTCTTCGTTGTTACGTCCCCCAAAAACTCTAACAAACTAAAATGGACCTACATGCCAAACCATAAATGTCTGTTTCCGGAAACAGACGATTATTTCACGAAATGAGTTGAAGCACCTATGACACAAAACCACTAATGGAGGATTCCAAAAAGGAGACCTGGTGTGGACATACAATCCACGGCACCAAAGAAGTATGTCACCTAAACTGCAACTGCAATATGAAGGTCCAAACAAGATCAAAATCGTCAAGCGAATAATGATGTCATCTATCAAATTAGACGTGCATCAAATGAGAGACCAATTGGCTCCATATATTGGCGACAACCACGAAGATGATCGGATTAAAATTATATAGGCTCGTTCTCTAAATCTCCAGTATGAAGAATTTATGACTACACCGAGCTTGTATTCCAAATTTGAAGTTACGTCTGCAAGGCTCCAGAACTTATATATCATCCCGAAATAATACTCAATGGCTGAGTATAGGCTACAGAATAGCTGTGGTGTTCCAAATGAATTTTGGCTTGCTACCGAAGCTTTGGTAAAAAGCATCGATCGTAGCGACACGCCGTGACAATAATTCCAACTAATCCTATCGGGTTAGCTGTTACACAGTGAGTAGAAAGAGATACATGTGTAATTCTTTTTTATAATAGAAGAAAACAAATGAAATTATTTTAAAATATGGAAAATCCATCTGAAACAAATGGAGCGAGATTTTCTCCAAAAAAAACTACGAGTAAAACGTTTTGTTGTGTCTATGGTTGCAAAAGTAAAGCGTTTAACAATCCGGGCGTTCGTTTCCACTATTTTCCAAAACCAAATAGTTACTATGAAAAAACACAAAATTATTTCGGTGATTTTTTTTTCCCAATCAGGTGCTTCATTATTTCTTTAAGTATACAGCCCATGACATCTGGATCCTGTAATTCTTAACTTCCGCTCATTCTTCCAAACAATATATAATTGTAGACTTTCTTTACAAATATCAATAGGATTTCGTGATAATTTTTCCATGATTTTTTCACAACATTCTCTCAAAGGCTTGTAAGGAACATGTGACAAATACGATAGGAAGTTTGAAAAAAATTAGTGTGTGAAGATTGACATAATATTTTCAACAGATTCAGGAGATATAGGTAATTTGCAAAGAGGCATGCCTTCCAGTTCTAAAAGAGTTCAAGAATAAGAATAGAAATAAATAAATTTGATGAAATATATGCCAGTTTCGATGTAGACAAACAATTACTTAAAAAATTCAACCTTATTATAATACTTTCCTAATAGAAAGTCAAAAATTCAATCGCGCAAAAAGTTTACAAGCAAAAATTCATTCAATTTCCCATAAAACATGTACATAAAATTAGTAAGACATTGAATCATCAAACTTAAGGAAATTATTTTCTCAATATTGTAAATAACTATTTAGAGTCGAGGATCAGATGATTGTATACAATACGATAGTAACTCATATCGATTATTTATATTATTTAATATGTTACAATATATTAAATGACCAGCATTCACACCTTTTTCTCCTTCAACGAAATTACGTGGCATATTTGACCCGATAGGATTGATTCGAATTATTGTCACGACGTGTCGCTACGATCGATGCCTTTTACCAATAAGACCAGTTCATAGATGGATGAATGGTGCTTAATTTACCTGATAGGAACCGATTCCTCTATTATCTTGACGCCAAAGAAGAATCGTTTGGGAAACTCACCTACCGCTCGTTATGGGATTCTTTGGTGGAATATAGAGACCACACGCTGACCACTTATACTATGAAACTAGTCACACCAAGGATAGGATGTGGTTTAGATAGATGAACTGGAGAATGGTACGAAACATGTTAGAGGTTTTGTTCCAGTACACTAGGGTTTTAGTATTAACAGGTAATCCACGACGAGAACCCACCGAATTGAAGACCGCGAATTGGTACATCCATTTGACAACCAGATACCAGAAGGGTCAGAGCTGTAAATATCGACATAGCCCTTCGAAGAAAGAGAGAACATGATCCAAGAAGGATCATCCTTAAAGAGGGAACAATGTTACGTACAAACATGTACCTAAGTGAAAATCAATACATTGATTTTCAACGACTCTGGAGAGCTTAAAATATATGTTTTTGTTATGAATCCCGAATAAAATAAACAAAATTCAAATTGTTTAAGAATAAGCGACCTTTCCCTAACTTTATAGTGTCTGCCATTTTCAAGGTCCTCAGTTATGATTCCGGTGCTGCCAAACTTGTGCTGCTAGAATCAAATCGATCGAAGAATTATGTGTCTTGTAATAACTTCATACCGTCTGTCAATGTCAAATAAGGCTGCACTGCAGATGCTGTAAATCATACGGCATGACTTTACAATACCGAATACCGAATACACTACTTCAAGCAGGAGAGAGTCTGACGATATTTATCTTTTTTTTATTTTATAAACATGGCAGACAGTATAAAGTAACAAGTCAGTCAAAAATTACTTATTCTTAAGTCTTCTGGTCTATGGTCTTTCCCAATTGATGAAAGTTTGCCTTAAGTGGGATTACTTTGGCGGCTTTTCTTTCAGTATTTCCTAATAGATTTCCGCTCCATTTTCTGATGTTATCATTTAAGCTTCTGTGTAAATTGTGTCCACCTTTAAGATGTCAATTGATTCAAGCACTCGGCCTTCAAAGTTCCGCCGTCTCCTTAAGCGTTCTGTTGTTTGCATTCAATTTATTAGACGGTATTATTATGCTAGATTTGGTATAATTTAATGTAAGATATGTTTAGAAAAAAAAAAATACTGGACTTTGAATTCGCCCATTTATTTAGTCTATCGCCATCTGTTGGTAAATTATAGAAAAAAAAGAAGCTCTTTATGGTCTCCATCGAAGGAAATTTTAACATACGGGATTAAACTGCATACTTCAATACCCTCCACTGTCCTAATTAGTGCTATTAATATCAATTAAAAAAATATCTGGTAATTGTGTTTTATGGGACATCCGTACAGAGAGGCAATGGGGTTCGAAGTATGGGGATGAATTTGTAGAACACTCAACAAGTGTGGAGACGTGGAAGTGCAGTGGATAAAGGTGTGATTTTCGACCGGGGGGAAATAGAGGATGAGTATAGATGGTAAAATCATTCTGACCTACCAACCCTCCTCCTCCAAGCGATAATCCCATAAACTAATCAAATATTTAAATAAACTATTACACTTACCAAGCGAATAATGAAATGACATCATCTTCTGGGGGAGGCGTTTTCGAATGATTGCAATCTTCAGTATTTTTTGTAGTAGTAATGGTAACCGATCTCCTTGTTGGAGGACGTTTTGATGGAGGTAATAAGGGTAGAAGGAAGTTGTGTGGCGATGATGACGCGGACGTTTGTGAATTTTCCGTATCCAACACGCATTTCGTGGTTACCTTATTTTCTTTAATCGCATCGTCTTTTTCTAACATTGCATCACAAAAAATTGAATCTTTCGACGTAACCCGAATTATAGTAGTTTGTAATTTAAAAAAGTGATTAAGAGTCCAGCGTTTCTTACATACGCGGGATGATGCTGACGCCATCGATACCCCCTGCAACGTTCTCGTAATTTTTATGTTAAAATTGCACGATTCGAGACGATATTTCACAAACGGATTCGTTTCGGAACCGTGGTCTGTTTTTTGGATTATATTTTTTTCGTTAGGAACTTCGACACATAAAGCACAGTTTGAATTGGGAGATAAATTCGAAAACGTCGTTGTAGATTCAACGTCCGACAAATTTGTGTAATCTATAAAGCCATTTATAATGTTGGTAATTTTTTCTTCTTTCAACCCTGAATCTGACGAATTGCCTGATTCGAAGTCATTTTTTGGAGGTTGTTTAATTTCGTTTGCAATCACATCGTTATCAGGAAAATTTTCGGAAATACTATTATTACTATTATTCTGTTTATCTGGAAGGTTGGTCAACCAAACTTTACAAATTCTTCTTTTACTGTCACAGCCACTTGCATTTTTCGAAAAATTTCTCTGTATAACGATATTTGGTAATTTATCCACTACCGAATCTTCTATTTCTTCTGCTAATCCATTGCTTTTTGAATTATTTTGGAGATTATTAACGTCGCCAGGTGGATCTTTTGTATTTTTTAAACGCTTCCTGTTAGATAGCGCGTTTTTTTTATTTTTTATTTTAAGCAGCTGTTTGATTTTTAGATTTTTATACGAATCGTCATAAATAAAACCACACGGTTCTTTTTTCCTAACATTTGGTTTCTTATCTGATGCTGCATCTATCGTTTTTGTAATCAGTTTTTCCGTTTTATAAATTTTTTCCGTGGAAATACCCGCCACTGGAGTAGTCGTTTCAGAACCATCTTCCGAGTTTTTCGGAATTTCTAGAAACAAAAAACAATTCACGCATAAAAACTTATAAATATGTCACAATAAAATATTAACGGTAACAATCTTGCCAATTACCATTTTAATACCGCTGTTAGCAGTAAATATACTGCATGTATGTTTAAAAATTGCTGCTATCTATTTGGACAAATATGGATAATTAAGCAAGAAATTCAATTTTCTTTAATATCGAACAATTTGCAAAATTATAATAAGATATCAAAATATTTTTATGGTTCATATAATATTGTATAATTGTTATTAAACAAAATTAATTACCAAAATATTTATTCATTTAATTGTAATACATATTATTTATGATAAATTTTACTGTGTCAGAAAATACCACAAATGGCGCGGTAAACGCCATCTATAGTACGATGCTACTTTTTAGGATTACGTATGCTCCAACAAGGTCCATTTAATCGAATTATTTTATTCGATTATGGTACGTGCCTATCACGTTGATGTTAGCTACGCCGGGATTCGTTTCAGCATGTAGATATCTATATATTTAAATGGACGTTGTTGGAGCATAGGTAATCCTAAAAAGTAGCATCGTACTATAGATGGCGTTTACCGCGCCATTTGTGGTATTTTCTAAAACGCGCTGTTAAGACAGCAGGTAAAAGTTGGTCTGTGTTCTGTCGGAGCTG